GAGGCTCCTCTCCCGGAGGCTGGCGGAGTGGGAGGGCGAGCCGCGGCTCCAGCGAAGCTTTAATAATCCCATCCGCCAGGCCCACTCGCAGGTTTTTTTCGCTCGGTTTCGGATTTTTTTTTTTTTCAGTGTGGGACATTCTGCAAACTTTTTTTTTTTTTCTGACGTGTAAAGCTGTAACCACAAATTGTAGCGGCCCTCCCTGGGGTGGGGGGAGGAGGGGGGAGGAGGGAAGGGAGGGCTTCTGGGGCTCCTCTCCCTCCCACGACACCGAGGGGGGGTGAGGTGAGGCGAGGCTGCGGTGGTACCACCCTGGGCCTCCTGGGGGAGGGGGCGGGAAGGGCATCAGTCGGTGTGCAAACTCTGAGAGCTCAGGCAGGGAGCCGCCCGCTCCTTTTCCTCTCCCTCCGAGTCTGCCTGGGGCGCCGCTCCCTGTCCGCGTGGGTCCCTGGGTCCCGCGCTCACCCTACCTCTGCCTTCTCGTGTGTAAGCTCACCACCCCCGCCCCCCACCCCACACACACACAGTAAATGCAATGACACATTCTCCCAAATGCCAGCGAGCTGGCCTCCAAGCAAGTGATGGTGTTTTTCCTGCTGCCCTTTGTCTGGGCTGACCGCCCCCCTTGCCTATTGTCCCGCCGCCTGTCCCATTTCCAAAAGCTGGGGCTAAGCGAGGCGCTGGCCGGGGCAGGTGACTAACCGGTTCACAATGCCCCCTGCGGGGGCGGGAGAGGGCACCACAGGCCCACTTGGCGAGTGCTTTCCCCTCAAGATCACAGGGTTCTTCATTCTTCCCAGCGGCCAGGAGAGTGCACATGGGTGGGGGGTTTGTCATTCATTAATCAACACGAGGCACCCGGACCAGTTTCAACACCAGGGCTTCATGGGTGACTCAGCGAGAACGTTCTAATTCAAGGCAATGGACGACCCCATTTGTGAAATGCTTCCCCATGAAGACAGTGGGGTTTGGGGTTGTTGGTTTTCCGGTGGTGGGGTAGGGGCGATTTGGCTGTGGAGTGCTCTTTCTCCTTCCTTCCCTCAGGCCTGGGTTGGGACTTGCTGGGTAGGATACCCCGGGGACCCATAAGCCTAGGACCCTCCCTGGAGGGTCTTCCTCGCTCTACACAGGTCTGCTAGGAAGCGAGCAGAGAAAACAGCTCTCATCTGGGATCGTGCAGGAATCTCCACTTCATGACTTTTCTTGGGGGACAGTTATTTGATCTCCATGGCTGGAGAGCTCTAGAACCAGACCAGCAATAAAATCATTTAGTAATTTGTTGCTTTTGTTGTTGTTTATTTGTTGTTTCAAAGGGATAAAGACGATAGTGGGCCAGACCTGGACGGTGACGCCTCCCTCTGGAACAGCATCAGAGCCCATGCTCCCCACTCCTTTCCTGGTGCCCCCAGAGAAAGGGATGCTCTGCCAGCCCTGCCACAGCCCCTCCAGCCTGTAGGTCAGAGCAGGCGGTATGTCATGACCAGCACTGGGTTCCCAGGGCAGCTCTTCCCTGTCTGCACTTGGAGAACTGGGGTGGGGGGGATGGGGGGGTGGGGAAGAAGTTTGTTTTCAATTACCTCACTGGAGTGGGACAGACTTTGTTGTTGAGTTTTTCCCCTCTTCTTTCTTTCTTTTTCTTTTTTTCCTAAACAAGAAAAAGAACTGGGAAAGGGGAGCTAGCCTGGAGTTGGGGGCAGGGGACTTTCTAGGGGATCAGCAGCAGCTCTGATGGGCTCTAGGGCATCTGCCTTAGAGGGGCCCTTTGGAAAAGTGCTCAGGGCCTCCCTCTTCCCCCACAACCCCCCCACCCCCCAGCCTGAACGCTGAAGTTTCAATGACATTCTTGGCCGGCGAGCCCAACGATCTTTGATGCCCATGCCAAGGTCAAGAAGGCAGATGCCCAGTGGGTGACTGGCACTGAGGCCAGCCAGGAGGTCCCCTAGCAGCCACCCTGTCAGAGGGAGGGAGCCATGGAGGGGAGGGGAGAGGGAGAGGGGAACTGCTCAAGTCCTTCTCCCTGGTTTGCAGCCGGCTCCTTGTGGAGAGTGTCTGCACAGACAATGTGGTTTGGATTTGGCTGAGCCCCCTCAGCACCTTATAAAGCACCTTGCTGAGTCAGGGAGAAAGCAGCCCCACCGAGGGAGAGGAGGAGGGGGCCAGGAGAAAAAGGGGGAGAGGGGAGCTGAAGGAGGAGGGTGGGGGCTGAGGGAAGAGGAGGGGGAGAAGGGAAGGGACAGAACAGGAAAGAGGAGACACAAAGGCAAATAAATGGGTGGGAGTGGGAAGGAGGGAGGAGCAGGAGTCAAGGAGGAAGAGGAACAGACTCTGTAGTTGAGGGGGAGCTTACCATGTTGCCTCCCCCCGCAGAGCCCCCCCCCTCCGTGCAAATATTCACCTCAAGAGTCTAGAAAGCATTGGTTCAAAGGAACCAAGGACTGCAACTCTCAAATGAGGACCAGGCCAGGTGGGAGCAGGAACGATTGGCTTTACACACAGCCCCTGGGCTTGATACTGTGACCCCACAAGCTGAGGAAGTCCCGTCCGCCTCTGCCTCTTGTCTGGACTTGTATCCCTGCCCTCTCCCCTCTCTGTGGTGGTGGGGGAAGGATGGAGGAATGGGGGGCAAGCTCTCCCCTCCCCCTCTTCTCTACTGCCAAAGGGAAAATCAACTCCATCTCCAAGCTGCCTGTGCCCCTCTGCCATGCCTGGGCAAAGGCAGCAGGCTAGGAGCTGCCAGTTGGGTTGGGGTGGGGGCTGGAATAAAGACTATGCCTTTATTCTACCAAATCCCAAATGGGAGTGGGCTATTGGTTCTCAAAGGAAGGAAGGAGAGGCAGAGTAGGAATGGCACCTCCAGGGTTTCTGTGGGTGGCAGGGCACAGGTGGCTGCCCTCTGATTTCCAGCTGGGACCTCCGGAAGGTTCCTGCTCCCCTGTGGCTCTTCCTGTTCATTGCTGCTGGGGGCAGGGCAGAGGTTAGAGGAGACACCCCGCCACACACACCTGAGTTCCAGATCCTTGGTGTGTTGTGCAGGCATTTCCTGAGCCCTCGCTGGGTTCTAGGTCCTAGAAAAGACAAGGGAGGAGAAAAACCCACCCCTGCCTTTAAGAATGTCACAGTCCTGTGACAAGAGACATCCATTAACCCTGGAGATCAGAGGATGGTGAGGGGAGGAGAGCTCCGGGAGGAGGGAGAGCTTCGGGGTAGAAATGTGACTGGACGGCAGGAGGAGCAGTGGCAGCCACAGGCAGGGGCCTGAGGTACCCTGGGCAGAGGTCCCAGGCTCCTTGCAGAGGCAGAGGGCCAGGCTGGGAGTCAGAATGCTGGGCTTCCAATTGGTCAGTGTGGCCCTGGGACAAGCCCATCACCTCTCTGTGGAATGGGATAGGACCACCTTCCACCAACTCCCCCACAGGATGGTGGGAGTATCAGTGAGCTGAGGAGGCAGACACTGCTTTGCTGCCCTCTCTGGCCTTCTAGACTCCAAGCCTTACCATTCACAGTGGGGTAGCAGATAAGGCTCCAAGGGGTGTGGCTGGGCAGGGGGCAGGGCTGGCACCAGGTGATGACTGAGCTGCCCTCCAAAGTGATGGGGGTGAGTCGGTGTTGGCTTACGGATGAGCTAGATTCCCACTTCTCCCTCTCACCTTCCCCCCAGAACTGGTATCCCCAGGGAAGGCTCTCCAGATGCCCCAACAACACCATGTCCCAGGCAGCTGAAGGTTTGGGACTGTAGGGGCACTGGCCTCTGGGTGTCCTGGATTCCTAAACCAGGAAGGCTTCTGGTCTGATGCCCTTCTGATGGGTGAGCAGGAGTATGGTGGTAGAGAAGCCCACTGAGGTGAGTAAGGATATCCACTAATTCATTCATTTGTTCACTAAACATTCCCTGAGTGCCTACTCCATGCCAAGTGCCAGGGACACAGAGAGGAACCCTAAGAGGCTATGGGGTGGAGGGGTGGAGACTGACCTGTGTGCACGTAGGAGAGGGAGGTGGGGAGAGAAAAAGAGAGAGAGAGAGAGAGAGAGAGAGAGAGAGAGAAACATTGATGTAAGAGCGATACATTGGCCCTAGCCAGTGTGGCTCAGTGGATAGAGTGTCAGCCAGGGACTGAAGGGTCCCAGTTTAATTCCAGTCAAGGGCATGTACCTCAGTTGCAGGCAACCCCTGTGCAGGAGGCAACCAATCAATGTTTCTCTCTCTTGTCTCTCTCCCTCCCTTCCACTCTTTCTAAAAATCAATGGAAAAAATATCCTTGGATGAGGATTAAATAAATAAACCATGAATGCAAAAATAGAGCACTTGTTCCTACAAAAATAAACAAATTTGTTTTAAAAGAGAGAGAGAGACACATTGATCAGTTGCACCCTGATTGGAGATTGAACCCACAACCTAGCTATGTACCCTGATCAGGAATCAAACCCGCAACCTTCCGGTGCACAGGACAACACTCCAACCAACTGAGCCACAGTGGATGGCCAGGGCCATCTCATTCTTACAATAACCCTGTAAAATGGGAACTGTTATTTCCCCATTTTATGTGTGAGGAAACTGAGGCTTGGTAAGATGAAGTCACCTGTCCAAGGTCACGCAAGTAGTAGAACCAGGACGGGAGCCCAGAACTTCGGCACCATGTCCCTTTAACTATCCCTCGCAGAATCAACCTGGGAGGGGACTCTGGAAAGGAGAGGCTGGGTGCCGAGCACCTCCAGAAACAGCAGGACTTGCCAGTGCCCTGGCCATGAGGGAGCTCACCTGGGTGCTGAGTCTCCTCAGGACACTAAGTCGTTCCTAGGGACAGTCCCCATTCCCCTGCCCACCACCCACTGCTGACAAGAATTGACTGTGATGCTAGGCTGTCACCCACATCACCTCCTGGGACAGGGAGAGGCACTATGCCCTCAGCTAGAATTGTAGATTCTAGGGGCAGTAAGCTTGAATTAGGACTGAGCACTGAACCAGGACCAGGATGTCCCTGTGCTTCCTGAGGGCCAGACTATATGGCCTGCAAAGGGAAGGGCTAGGTAGCCTGAGAGGCCCCTTCTGGGCTACTCACTGGGGCCAGAGAAGGCCCCAGGGATCCATCCCCGGAAAGAGCGCTCCTCTTCGCCACCACGTGTGAACACTCCAGTGTGAATGTGCAGGCCTGGAGGCCACTGAGGGCAGATGGTGAGAGAAGGCAGCAGGGGTGGGCACTTTCCCTTTCCCTCCAGCGGGCAAGAGCCCAGAGGGCCCTGTCTCACCCTGAGCTGGCCATGATGTCAGCGGAAACCCCTGGGCCTCCTCCCACCTCAGCAAGGGCCCTACCCTGCCCTGTGCCCCCACCCACACCTGGACCAGCTCAGGCCTCCCCGAGGACACCACACCCACTGCCTCCATGTGAAGCTAAGAGGAACCAGGCTCTGCTTCGGGCCACTCCCTGCCCTGCCTGGGCTCTACTCTCTGCAAGGATGTCTGGGTGACAGGTGTGCGAGATGGGCAGGGGCAGAAGGGATACCCCATGCTCAACTCCTCCCTTGCTTGTCAGAAACTCCACCCCCCCCCCATTCTTCCAGGATGTTCCATTGCCCTGGCCAACCCATGCCTCGGGCTCAGTGACTCCGTCTCCCCTGGCAAAGGAGTGGGGTTACCTCTCCCTGGGCTGGAAGATCCTTATCCTGCCCTGCTGAGTCACTGCCGGCTCCTCCTGCTCTGTCCCCTCCCTCCTCACCAGCCACCCTCCTTCAAGCTTCTCAGGACTTTCTCCAGAATATCCGGGCTTCTCAGGGACCCTGGGGGTCAGAGGACAGACAGCACCTCCCTGGGCCATCCCAGGGAAGCAGTGATGGGAGTCCCACCCACAGTGCCTGCCATCCCAAGTGCCTGCACTGTTGGGAGAATGACAGTTGAGGGTGACCACTCCAGCTTTACTAGCTGTGTGACTTTGGGCAAATCACTTGATCCCTGCACACCTATTTTCTCCTGCACAACACAGGGGTGATGATAATAGTACCTTCCTCAGAATAAGGGTCGATCCACTTAATACAAGTCAATCTCTGGCACTTAGCACTCGATAATGTTAAATATTACTGTTATCTGCCCTCGTGCCCTATCCTCCTGCTTCCACTAATGATGCCACTACCCTCTTGCAAGCCCCTATGTCTGTGCCTTTTCTGTCCTTTTGATTCTGCCTTCCTGAAGCCTGTCCCCATCACCCGACTCTGACTCCCCACACAGGGCACAGACACAGAACTCTAGAGAGTTCTAGAGTTGGGCTGTTGCTCAACTCTCCTCCAATGATAAATGATTCCTGAGCATTTGAATTTGCACCCCAGCCAGCCTCCGGTAGGGGTTCGATGTGTTAAAGGAGGGTGGAGTGGGAGGGGCAACAGCGAGGGCACAGTGAGCTCCGAAGGGCTGAGAGGAGCCAATTGATCCTGACTGTGCTGGGTGCCCGCCCCATTCTGAGCTTTCAGGTCATCTGTCTGCAAGATGTGGGTAGTTTGGGTTTCTGAGGAGCCCCCTCACCCCTACTGGCCCCCAAGGCACCTTTCTGAGGACCACAACTCGTCCTTCCCTGTGCATGTCAGTTTCAGCCTGCTACAAAATCTGTTAAATGAGACAGGTCCTCAAGAACTTAAGGTTTCTAAAGGGCTGTGGTGCACAGAAAGGTCAATGGACGGAGATGTGAGGAAAGACTTCCAGAGGGGCCGGGGAGAATCTGAGTGGCGGAAAGGGAAAAGCCACACCTGGCCTGGAACCTTGCTGGGGCTGGGGAGGAGCCTTCAGAAGCTCCTGTATGTGCCCCACGGAACAGTTTGGAACTACAGAGACCCAAGCCTGCCAGCCAGGGGCTCTGGGTCTCCTGGGACAGAGGGCAAGATGGCTCCAGAGCCACTCTGCTCTTAATTAGTGGCCTCCTTCCCACCCCGCCCCCATTCCCTAGTCTCTCCCCCTTACCCCGAACTGCAGTAAGCCCATCTCAGCCCCTCCCTCCCTCAGGTGCCTAGCTGGCTTGGGCACAGAGCTGGGCCCCATGGATGCTTGCCTGCCCTACAGGCAGAGTAGCCCAACTCTGTTCTGGGAGCTGGGACTGGACACGGTGTCTGTCTCCCTCTGCTGGTCCCTTTAGGGGACAACCCCGCCAGGACTCCCCAGAGCTGGAAGTGCACATATCTCCCCAGACAGCACGTGTTGGGGGTTGAGGAAAGAACCCCGGGATTCAGACGGGGCTCTAGCCTGCCAGAACACTGATGCTGCCACCTGGGGTTCCTGTGGCCTGAAGCCTGCCTTTGACTGGGGCCCCTTGAGCTGCTCTTGGGGAGGCCAGGTCCCGCCCTGAGGCTTTCCCCACAGGCCAGCAGGCCCCAAACAGCTTCCTTCCCCTTCTAGCCATGAATGGAGCTGTCATCCACAGATTTATCTAAACCTTTTGTGAAGCTATTTATATTCCCAGCCGAGACCACATCTTGGGGTAATGAGTTCCATCGGCGTCCTCCCCTGCTGGGTGAAGCACGCTGTCTTTGATTTGTCCTAAACTTACCTCACTTGTGCTCCAAGGGGGCCTGTCATTCCAGCGTGCCAGGTTTTGGTGAACAAGCCTGTGCTTCCCCCTTCTCTGCTGTGGGTTTAGAAAATCCCCTCCCATCTCCCCTCCACCTCCTGCCCTGCAGACTGCAGAGACCTGGGCTTGTCTGCGCACCGTGCCCGGCAGTGTGGGCACAGCCACTGCCTCGTGTCAGCCTCTGGCAGCTCGGGAAGACAGAGGACTTACATCCCCCTCACGAGGCAGCAGGCATTGAGGGGCCAGCACGTGGCCACAGCCACAGCCTCCCCCACACCTTTTCCCTGGGGCTGACCTCTGCCCCACCCGAGTCCTGCGAGTGCTTTCCAGTCCCTGGCCTCTGGGCCTTTTCCTTGCAATGTTCCTCTGGGGTCTTCCCTCCCTGCTTCCTAGTGTGGATTCCTCCCTAATATGATTATTTTGTTCTTGGTTCTGACCCTAGAATCCTGTGAGGGCACACGCAAGATGGAGGTAGTGGGACACAGCAATAATCATCATGGCAAGACTGACAGTGAGTGCTAAGAGCTGTATAAACACTAAATTAATCCTCACAACAGCCCTTTCCTTCCCCCAATTTACAGATGAGTAAACTGAGGCTCAGAGAATATCAGCAACGTGTCTACTTGCACAAAACCTAAAAGTGATGAACCCAGGATTCAGATCTAGACAGGCTAGTGCCTAGAATCCCATTGTCCACCTCAATAGACAACCTGAGTCCAAATCTTGTAACCACTTTGAATGTTATGCTCTTCAGTCATTCAATATATGCTTAAGCCACCGATATGTGCCGAGCTTGCCCGCCCTAACTGCTGATAAATGCTGGGGAATGAGAAAGGCCTGGGCCTGCCTACAGGCACCAGTGGCACCTGGTGAACCACTCACAGGTGGGCAAGTAGTGCCCTGCCGACAGCTCAGAGCTGCCTCGCCCCCTTGGTCATCCCAGCGGAACCACACGTTTGGATCACATCAGAGCCTGGCATGGGCTGTCCCTTTAATCTGTCCTCTCCGGTGCAGTGGAAGCCCAGGGCAGTGGGGATTTGTATCCTGTACTCTGTTCCTGAGCTTAGAAATGTGTTTCTGAATTAAATGAATTACTGAGCTCTGAGGATTCCTGCGACTTCAAACCTAACCAGTTGGGTGAGAAGTAGTGGTTGAACTGAAATTTCCCGACAGATAATTATTTTTAAAGTTTGAAATGGGCCCTGGCCAGTTCGGTCAGTGGTTAGAGCATCGGCCCTAGGACTGAAGGGTCGAGGGGTTGATTCCTGGCACGTATCTCAGGTTGCAGGTTCCCTGGCCCCGGCAGGAGGCAGCCAATCGATATGTCTCTCTCACTCCGATGTTTCTCTCCCTCTCTCTCCCTTCCACACTCTCTAGCAATCAATGGAAAAAATATTCTCAGGTGAGGATTAAAAAAAAAAAAAGTCTGCAATGGTAACCACCTTCTTCTGTCCCCTATCTGCCCGCCCCCCCAACTCCCATATATGCACTTGTGGGAGGTCGCAAATGCATATGGTGAAGACTAAGAATCTAGGGTTTGAAAGGGTTCTGAGAGCATCTCAGCCAATCCCCTCATTTTTATCAAGGGGAAACTGAGGCCCAGAGAAGAGTCTTGCTTGAAGTTGTGAGTAGGACTGGAGGTCCCCCAGGCCTCCTGACTTCTGGCACAGACCCAAAATTGTCTTTGGGTCCCTATATGCACTGCCTGCCCTGTTAACACAAAGGGTTCTTGACAGTTCTAGGCTCTCATGCCCCCACTGTAAATCCTCCCTTCTGGACCTGAGAGGTTTTGTTGGCTGTGCCAACTACAGCCTGGAGAGGCTGCTTGGCCCCAGATTGGAGAGCCCCCTTCTGGCCCCATTACCTGGGGGAAGCAAGACAGCCAATTACAGCCCAGGCTGGTGGGGCTGTTGGTTGAGCCTCATCCCATGCACCAAAAGGTCACCAGTCAGGGCACAGATCCAGGTTGCAGGTTTGATCCCTGGTAAGGGTGCATACAGGAGGCAGCCAATCACTGTTTCTCTCACATTATTTTTTCTCTCTCTCCCTTCCTCTAAAACTCAATAAAAATATTTAAAAAAAAAAAAAAAAGGAGCCCTGGCTGGTATTCTCAGTGGTTAGAGTGTCAGCCCGAGCACAGAAGGGTTTCAGGTTTGATTCCCAGTCAAGGGCACCTACCTGGGTTGCAGGTTCAATCTCCAGCCGGGTCAGGACCAATGAGGGAGGCAACCAATGGATGTCCCTCTCTTACATCAATGTTTCTCTCTCCCCCTCCCTCCTTCCCTTCCACTCTCTCTAAAAATCAATGGAAAAATATCCTCGGGTGAGGATTAACAAAAATAGACAGCCAATGACAGCTCCTCTCCAGAGCTACGGCCAGATGAGGGGCATAGGGAAGCTGGGCACTGCAGTGAGCATCTCATGCCACCAACAGCCGCAGAGCCAGGGAGGGACTTACACAAAGTCACACAGCGAATCCGTGTTGGAGCACAGACTAGAAACAGGCCCCTGACTCCCGCTCTAGCCTCCTTTCTGTTGTCTGAGCCCTTCAGAAGGGCAGATTCCGACTTTTGACAGGCGTGTGTGTGTGTGTGTGTGTGTGTGTGTGTGTGAGAGAGAGAGAGAGAGAGAAAGTCCTAAAGAGTCTGTCTCCCTCTCCCCAGGGCCTTGCTCCAAAGACCTCAAGGCCATAAGACTCTACAGACCTAGGGGTCAGGGGCAGACAAGACTGCATAATCACAGCTTCCTTTCCTGGCCGTCCAGAGAGCTGTGGTGTCTATCTCCTGTTCCGGTTGGGCGGCTCAGGTATGGTGTGAGGCAGAGGTGAGATGGAGAAGCTGTGAGGCTATGCTGACTTACACTGGGGTGAAAGAGAGGGACATCCAGGAGGGGGACGAAAGGTAAGGAAGAGAATAGCTGTGCTAGGTTCTTTTGTTCTTCTGACAGAACAGGGTAGGGGGCAGCTCTTGTCTAGGGAAGGGTGGGGCTATGAGCCAGAGACAGGTGAAGAGGCTGGGCAGGTTTGGGGTAGTGTGGATTCTATGAGAAATGTAGTGACTTGGAGGCAGCTCATCTTCATTTGGATCACACATTTACCCACTGAACACATGTATTACCCTCTACTGAGGGCCAGGCCTGTGTGAGGCACAGGGATACAGCAACAAACAAAACAGACATGGTCCCTGTGCTCAGGAGCTGACATACTAGTGGTGAAGACGCCCGTTGAATAAGTGCACACACGTGTGGAATAATGTTGAGTGGTGCTAAGTGCTGTGACTAACCCAGAGCAAGGGCTTAGCTAGAGAGAAGGGGGACATGGGGGAGGGGGCAGAGGCCTATTGCTTGAAGCTGAGCCCCAGGAAAAGGAGCCAGCACGTGAGAAGGGAGCAGAGCATCCCCAGTGGTAGGAATGGCCTGTGCAGAGATCCCAAGATGGAAAAGGATGTGATGGGCTGCGCAGGAAGACCAGAGACCGGTGAAGAGGCTGGGCTGGCTCCTGAGGTTTGGGGGGGAAAGTGTGGATTTTATGGGAAGTGCAGTGGTTAGAAACCACTGGAGGGTCTAAACAAGGGGAGGCGTGACATGGTTGACATTTTAGGAAGGTCACCTTGGTGCTGTATGGAGAGTGGACTGGATGAGACAGAGAGACTCAGAGAGCTCCTGGTCAGTCGTCCGGAGGAGAGATGATGGTGTCCTTAGCCAGGATGATGGCTCTGGAGATGGAAGAGGAAGGCTGAAGTTGTCATCTGTTTGGGAGGTAGACTCAGGACTTGCCAAAAAATTGTAGTATGTGGGGTGAGGGGAAGGTGGGGCCAAGGATGACTCCGAGTTTACTTACCCAAATGCCTGCACAGAGGTGGTGCCATTTACACGGATCCCTCTGGGAGGAGAGAGTAACCTCCCGAGAGCCCAGTGCGGGAGAGGAGATGAGGGCAAGGAGAAGGGGAAACAAGTGGGGTCCACAATGGCAGGTTAGGAGCTGGAGGGCAAGGGGTCCGCAGACAAAGGTATCCTCGCTGCAGACAGCAGCAGAGGGGCAAGGCCAGGCTGCCCTAAAGGAACGGCGCGACGGGGCCCTTCAGAGCACCTCAGAGCCTTGGTGCTGCGGGAAACCAGGGGTCAGCGAGCCCGCCCAGGCCTGCCTTCCCCATTACCCCGGGGGCTGGCGCCCAGGGCCAGGCAGACACCCCTGGCTGATGAGACCCTTCCTTTCGCACAGCCCGGGTTTTGCGTTGTTGTTGTTGTTTTAAATGGCCACGTAAGTACGATTCTACCCTCGTAAACGTGTCCAGTGCTGCTCATTAGTGCGCCTTGTCATGTGGCGGCCACCACCCCTCTGCGCGGCTCCAAGACCCACCTCCCTCCCGCACGGGCTAAACCTCACCCCCGGAGCCTTTCTTCTCGCTCCCCCCTGCGAGGTACCCCGGCCAGCCCTTTCCGCCCGAGAATCTTATGTTCAACAATCAACGAAAGGTCCTCGAAGCCAGAACGAACGGCCACTTCCCACAGCGGGATCCGGCCGCGATTGCTTTCATCTTTCTTTAGTGCTGGTGGCTGCAGCTTGGATCCTAGTCTCCGGCCCGGGTCGGTGCGGACGGTCTTGCTGCGACACCTGGGAAATCCGCACTGAGCCGGTGACTCGAGCACCGAGCACCGGGGCCGCGTCCTCCGTATTCCCCGCGCTCGGTTGCGTAGTCGCGCGCCAGCGAGAGGAAACGAACGAGGTGTGCGCCGAGCCCTCCCGGCCCACGTGACCTGCCCCCAACGGGCTCCGTCACGTGACAGTGGAGTTGCAAACGTCTTCCTCACGTGACGGAGGCCCGGTGTGTGGACCAATGAGGAGGCGGGGCGGGCTGTCAGGGGTGCGCGCGAAGGTGCTCCGCCGAGCCCTCCGGCCCACGTGACCTGCCCCCAACGGGCTCCGTCACGTGACAGTGGAGTTGCAAACGTCTTCCTCACGTGACGGAGGCCCGGTGTGTGGACCAATGAGGAGGCGGGGCGGGCTGTCAGGGGTGCGCGCGAAGGTGCTCCGGCCATCCACGCTTCCGAGAGGAGGGAAGCCGCCAGTCTCTGCTGGGCGCAGGCCAGCCGGCCTCGGTGCAGGCGGCGGCATGAAGTGTCTGGTCACAGGCGGCAACGTGAAGGGTGAGTGGGGCCTGGCGGGGTCGAGGGGACGTGGGACTGCCCGAGGCTCCAGCCTAACCCCTGATGCTCTTCTCCCCACGCAGTGCTCGGCAAGGCCGTCCACTCTCTATCCCGAATCGGGGACGAGCTCTACCTGGAGCCCCTGGAAGACGGGGTGAGGAGCTGGGGTCTGGGACGGGATGGGATTCCAACAGGGAGCCCTAACCTGGGCTTGAGTCTCGCCTCCACCAGGCAGGATGCCCGGGACAGATTTGTCAGCTGAGTTTCAGTGTCCAACCCCCGGTGCTGGGGCACCAGTTTGGGCCCTGTCATTTCCCAGGCCTGTGTGTGGACTGAGGACAATTGCTCTCCCTGAAGTGCCAGGTGGCCGGTGGGGGTGACTGGGGGGAAAGGCGCAGTGAGTTGGTGTAAGGCCCTGGTGGGAGCAGTGCTGAGGCCAACTCTGGGGAGGCTTCGTGGAGAAGGTATCCGATGACCGGAAGGGGTCAGGATTTCAACAGGTGATGGTGGAGGTGCAGGACATTAGGGCAAGTGTCACTGCCCTGACTGCGTTCCTCTCCCTGCTTTTCCTTGCCCAGCTCTCTCTCCGGACCGTGAATTCCTCCCGCTCTGCCTATGCCTGCTTCCTCTTTGCCCCGCTCTTCTTCCAGCTGTACCAGGCGGCCACCCCTGGTCAGGACCCACTGCGCTGTAAGATCCTGATGAAGGTGAGGTCCTCCCCTCAGCAGCGGTACTGCACCCCCCAGGAGCCCCCCGCAGCAGTGCAGCTGCTCTGGGCACTCAGTAGATGCCAACTGGGGAGAGAGGTGTGTGCAGGGGCAATCCAGTGCACAGTGCAGCGAGGAGCACAGTGAAGACATCTGCAGAGGGGAATGCAGACAAGGAGAGGGTGATCAACCCTACCAGGGACCTGGAGAGAGAGGTGACATTCAAGCAGGTGTTGCAAGGCATCCAGACAGGGAGCAGCATGAACAGAGGCCTAGAAATGTGTCAATGACCGATAGTTGTGGGAGCTCCCTTCCTGGTATGTCGGTCCTGAGCCCATGATGGGCTAGGGCCCACAGGGGACGTGAGAACTGGTGGTTGGAGGTGCAGTGTTGGCCTGATGTGTTTCCCCCACCTAGTCGTTCCTGTCAGTCTTCCGCTCGCTGGTGATGCTGGAGAAGACAGTGGAGAAATGCTGCATCTCCCTGAATGGCAGGAGCAGCCGCCTGGTGGTCCAGCTGCACTGCAAATATGGTGAGTGGGCAGCTGGCCAGCAAGGGGGTTCCTGGGGTGTGGGGGTGGAGGTTGGCGAGGTCCTGAGACTCTGTCTGCCCGTCCAGGGGTGAGAAAGACTCACAACCTGTCCTTCCAGGACTGTGAGTCCCTGCAGGCTGTCTTCGACCCAGCCTCGTGCCCCTATCTGCTCCGGGCCCCAGCAAAGTAAGTACACCACCTTCCCGAAAGCTGAGCCCTAGGTCTCCGTCTTCCTTCTTTGGGGCCTCAAGGGTCAATTTAAGAAGGCACCGCTACCATTTTTCCTACAGGGTTTGTGTGAACCTCAGCAGTCATCCAGCCCAGTTTGCTCTCAGGTCCTTGTCTGTCTCTTTAAGAGGGGGAGTAGAGGAGGGACAGGGGCTCCCTTGCTGTAGGCTCCTCACTGTCTTCAGGAGCCTATAGTCTCACCCCAAGGGCCCAGCTTGTCTTTCTGGCCAGTCAGCCTTCTGGAGAGTAGGTCTCTGGCCTGAGCAGCCTTGAAAGTCTGTCGTCAAGCTTTGTAGCTCAGGGTCAAAACCCTTCTTTGGCTTGGTTATCCTTCTGGGGTGCTCCCCACTCAAGGGCAGCCTCTCCCTACCTGCCCTGACTTTAGCCTTGAGTCCTCAGGTCAAGGTAGGAGCCTGGGTGGGGAGGTTGTGGTCCAGGAGGCCTAACAAGCAGCTCCAGAGCTGGAACCATCCGGGCAATCCCCCCAGGGGCTGGGAAGCCGGGACTGCAGTGGAGGCCCAGGTCCCTGGTGAAGACCAGTGCAGAGGGGTGGCTCCCTTCCCGCCCATGCTGGGTGCTCTTGGCATTCAAGTAGCCCAAGGTCTTGTTCATTTCTTTTGGTAGCCATAGGCCATGTAACTTGAAGGTCCCTTTGGGTCCTGACTATATGGTTTCTGAGTTCTGTGTATAGCACTGCTCCTTTAGGTAGAGAAAGAGGGAAGGCTATCACCTCTGGACTGGATTTTGAGGCTATTTCTCTTTTTTAATGGGTAATTTTTTCTTTTTCTTAAAATTTTAAATACATATAAAAGATGCCAGCTCCTGTCCCAACTGTCTTGAGGCTAATTCTAAATATTACTTCATTTGTAACTACTTATTACCATGTATCCCTAAAAAACAAGGATGTAGGGTTCTTTTTGAAGGCCAAGTGGTAAGGATAGAATGGGTGTGGTTTCCCACCCCTGGATGGACAGGTGTTGCCTGCCTGGTATAGCCCATCCTTCCTGCTGCTTTCTCTGGGCTCTACTCTTGTCTGTCCTGTCCCTTACAGTGGACTTTGCTGCCATGACAGCCTGGGAGCTTTTGATGGGGCAGGAACCATGTCTTGCTCACCCTGTCCTCCTTCCTGGGGCATGCTAGGCCTGGCTCATGGCAATCCCCCTTCCATACTGGTGCGTATATCACTGTCCTGCCTCAGGTCCTCTGAGAGCAAAACCACTGGGTAGGGCCAAGCCTTAGGTGTAATGCTCTGCCCTCCTCACAGGCTTCTGGGGGAGGCTGTTCTGCCCTTCCCCCCTGCACTGGCTGAAGTGACGCTGGGCATTGGCCATGGTCGCAGGGTCATCCTGCGAAGCTACCAGGAGGAAGAGGCAGGTGAGGGATCTGGACAGGGCCTGGGATAGGGAATGATGGGGTGGGAGGAGCTAGGACCTATGGGCCCAGGTTCCTCTTGTTCCTGCCCCCACAGACAGCACCATCAAAGCCATGGTGACTGAGATGAGCATTGGGCAGGAGGATTTCCAGCAGCTGCAGGCTGAAGAAGGGGTGGCCATCACTTTCTGCCTCAAAGAATTCCGGGTGAGGTTCCCCCCATACCCTCACCATCCCATCCTCCCTGTCCTGCCCAAGGCCTCACTGCTCTGCTCTCTCCTCCCAGGGGCTCCTGAGCTTCGCAGAGTCAGCAAACTTATCTCTTAGCATTCACTTCGATGCTCCCGGCAGGTAATTCCCAGCCTCAGGACAGGGAGGGGAGGGCTCTGGGGTGCAAAGGGCCCTTACCTTGTCTGGGACCCATCATCTGCCCAGGCCAGCCATCTTTGCCATCAAGGACTCGCTGCTGGATGGCCACTTTGTTCTGGCTACACTCTCGGAGCCAACCCCAAACTCCCAGGACCCGCACTTCCCAGAGCCCTGCCAGCCGGCGCCTCAGCGCCAGGCCCACAGGTGAGGGTTTCCACGGGCCCGCCCTCCCAAGTGGCTCTGAGCACCCTGGCCTGAGCCTGCTGCCTCCAGCTTCAATACCTCCCCCTCCATACAGACATTTCCTGTAAGGCCCCAGCCCCTACAGTGCTTCCAGCTTCCAGCCTCGCAGGCTCAGCCTTCCTGGTCAGCTGTGCTCAGAGATCCCCCCCACCCAGGGGAGTGTCCCCAAGGTCAGGCTAGCTTCCTTCTCTGGCTGAGACCTCCCCACTGAGCTTCCTCCCAGACTAGGAGGGAAAGGGGGTTGCTGGAGGCTAGGGGCTGCCTGGGGTGAAAAGCAGGTGGCGGGAAGGGTAGGTGGGTTGGGGAGGATGGGGCGAGTATAGTTTAAGCAGAGGAAGTTTAGTCTGGCCCCCTGCCCAGCAGGTCCCTGGGCCTTAGTGCTCTCCAGCTCCTCTCCCCTGGGAAGGCGAGATATTGGGCCCAAAGTGGCCCAGCTCACCGGACTTACTACTCCCCTCCCCCAGCTGAGCTAAATGGGCCCCCAGGATGCCTCCCTCAGGCCCCTATTTGAACTCTGATCAAAAGATTCCAGGCCCAGCCCCTCCAGGAAGCTGCCACTTAACCCTTGTATCCTCTCTCCTCCAACCAAATAAGGAAGTAATAAAACTAAGAGATCACCAGTGGTCACAAGGCCCCCACACCAACCCCCACCACAGCCCTCCAAGGTGGGCTCTTTTCCTGTTTCTCACTGACATCATCTTTACCTGCAGCACCCCCCAGCCGGATGACTTTGCCAGTGACGACATTGACTCTTACATGATCGCCATGGAAACCACTGTGGGCAGTGAGAGCTCAAGAACACTCCCCTCCATATCCCTCTCACCTGGCCTCCAGCCTCCCTGCAGCTCCGAAGGGGAAGAAGATGAAGCTGCGGCTGAGCTCAGTACAGTGCCTGGGACCCCCCCACCCAAGAAGGTAAGGGCTGGAAGTGGAGGCAGAGGATGGGGTGCCAGGTGGGAGCAGCCTCCACAACTCACTGAGCTTCCTATTCTTCCAGTTCCGCTCACTGTTCTTTGGCTCCATCCTGGCTCCTGCACACTCCCCGCTGGGCCCCAGCCCTGTGTTGGCTGAAGACAGTGAGGGTGAAGGCTGAACTGAGAACCTTCTGTGCCCAGAGGCCCTGGACTAGATGAAGCCACAGCCTCTGGCTCCTCAGCGCCAGCCAGGGACAGGGCTGGGTCTCCACGCTGGCGTTGGTAAAGGTGGGCTGGAGCTGAGCTGGCTGGTCCTGCTGCATCCCCATGCCCCAACTGGCTATTGGTAACTGGCCTGGGTCCTGTCATGTCCCCCAAACAATCATGTCTGTTTCGAGGGAAGGTCCACCTGATAGGAGGTCCCACACCTTATTCCAACCTTGAAACAGAAGCTGGACACCTTTCTTCCTTAAGAAATCACAGTGGGGCTGCTGGCCCATTGATCAACTTTTTCTGACAATCATGACTTGTCCCTCCTCCAAATCAGGGATGTCCTATGGCTGGCCTTGCTTTTTCAATATTTTTTGGCTCTGGCTGGGAATTCTAAGAAGGCCCTGTGGACCTTAACATGTGGCTGGGGCCCCGTGCCTGGCAAGCCACCCCTTGCAAGTGGCTCTGGGCAAAAGAGTGCCAGGCCCACTGTTTGGGACAAGGGAGACAGGCCAGGGCAAGAATCCAGCTTTGACCTTTATTCAAGAGACCAGATGGGTTGCCCAGGATCCGGCTGCCAGCCCTGAGGCCAAGCAAGGCTGGAGACCCACAATCTGGCCCTGCTTTGCCCTGAGCTGCAGCCTCAGCCCCAGGATCCTGCTTGCAGCCACCGAGGCACAGGCAGAGGGAGCCCTGGGGGCTTGGACACTGCTATTGATTCATTAAAAAAAGGAAAAATTCATCAAGGCTCCATGTTCCCTGTGACAGCAGGCCTAGGAAGTCAGCATGACCCCCCCATGCTGCGTGGTTTCTGTACAATCCACCATCTAGGGCAGAGGGCGGGCACGTGGAGGCTATTTCTTGGCTTTGGCGGAGTTACGGGGTGGGGTGATGGGCCGGCCACCAGGGTTCAGGCCACTGAACTGCCCATATTTCCCCTTGTTCTTGTCGGCGGGCTTGAGGATCTAAAAGAGACAACACTGGTCAGGCTCATGGGGCTGAGCCATGGGCCACCAGCCCCTTCCTTCCCCATCCCCACCTGGAAGGAGCACATGAGCGTCTCGTCCACGCTCATCATGGCGCCAGCATTATCAAACTCGCCGCAGTAGTTGGGAGCTGAGAAGAGTGTCACCAGCTGCCGCTTGGCAAAGAACTCATAGCCATCTTCTACCACCTGGACAAGGATGGGGCAGAGAGTTAAGCAAGTGCTGGCTGCCCAGGTCCCTCTCCTACCTGGACCAGAGCTGCCAGCCCACCTGGTGTGCCCGGCAGATGAGGTCCAAGTCGTGCTTGTGTAGGAACTTGGCCACCACCTCAGCCCCGAAGGTAAAGGAGACACCACGGTCGTTCTCGCCCCAGCCCTGCACGTCCTTGTCAGGGTCAGACCACAGCAGGTCACATAGCAGCCCCTGGTCAGGCACATCTGTGGGCCGCATGATACGCCGAATCTGCTCCATGGACTGTAGGTCGGGGGACAGACCTGGAGGACACAGGTGGCACATCACTTCCTCAAGCCTCAAAACAAGGATGCCCCCTCACCCCCAAAAGCCCTGGCCAATCAGCTTTTGCGCGCACATACATTCCACCACTACCCCCTGGCCCTCCTGGATTTTGGGAACCCAGGCAGACAGAACTCATTACCTTCTGCCTCTTTTAAGTCCCTGCCTTCTAGGAGCGCAGAGCTCCCTAGAGAAAGGAGCAAGCATAATGCTGAGGCCACAACAGTGGAGAGTGCAGCCTAACACCAAGGAGCAGGGGAACATCCTGCAATAAGTGACATCCAAGCCCAGACCCCAGGGAGAGCTGTTCCAGGCGACTAGGAACAAGTCCTCTACTGACAGCTTCTTCCCATGAACTCCCTCAGCAGGTGCCCCGGAGCCGCCCTCACCTCCATGGCAGCAGAAGATCTTCTCGTCCACGATGGCTGCAATGGGCAGGCAGTTGAAGCAGTCGGTGAAGGTTTTCCACAGTTTAATGTTGTAGCGCCTCTTGCCTGCCCAGGGGAAGGAGAATGGCTCATGAGCAGGCCTCCAAGGCCTCCCAGACACAGCTGGGAGAAGAGCATGGGAGATAAGAAGGGAACCCCCACCACACACACACTGCCTACCAGCCTTCTAGGGGGACTTCTACAGTAGCTGAATCCACGGAACCCCAAAGTTACAATCTGGAACAGTGTTGGGGTTAGCATCCACCCCCACCCTATGAGCAGGACCAGGCCAAGACTGGGTCTGGTTTATCTCAGCTTCTGGCCAACAGAGTCCAGTCCAGATAGGTGTCCTAAGTGCTTAAGTAGGAGATGTACTAGAGGGAGTGTCACCAGACAGGGTTCTGCATTAGCCCTTCAGTCAGCAACCATTCACCAGACCCCTGTTGAGTGCCAGACCCCATGGCAGGAGGGCAGGGCTCTGCCAGACATGGATACCCCTATCACCAGGCCAAATGAATAGCAGGGAGAGCTCTTCAGGCCTTGGGCAGCCCCAGGCACGAAGCTACTCACACTCATCGTAGAAGCCGTAGATGCGGTTGATGCTGGCACACTCGTGGTTCCCACGGAGCAGGAAGAAGTTCTCGGGGTACTTGATCTTATAGGCCAGCAGCAGGCAGATGGTCTCCAGCGACTGCTTGCCCCGGTCTACATAGTCCCCCAGGAAGAGGTAGTTGCTCTCTGGAGGGAAGCCCCCGTATTCGAACAGCCGCAGAAGGTCGTAGTACTGGCCATGGATGTCACCTGTGACCCAGGGAACCACGTCAGTACCGGTGCAGGGTCTAGACTTGAACCCAGGACCAGGGTTGGGCTCAAGATTAGAAGGATCCAGGGATTTGGGGGGCCAGTGCCGCCTTCAGGAAACAAAGGGGCCTGGGCAGGAGTCTCACCGCAGATCTTGAGGGGTGCCTCCAGCTCCAGAAGGATGGGCTGGCTCAGGAAAATCTCCCGGGATTTGAGGCACAGGCCACGGATCTCATTCTCTGTCAGCTGTACATTCTTCCCAGGCCGCGAGCCCTGCACTGGAGGCAGAACGGGCGTCAGGACCCTGGTCCCCCAGACAGGAGGAGGCTGGGCGACACGGGTGCCCCAAGGGCACTTCTGGGGGCGCCAGGGCCTCGTGGGCCCCTCCTTGCCCCGGACAGATGGTGCTGCTGCGCCTCCCAGGACACGAGGTAGCCTCCCAACTACCCACAAGGCGCTCCAAGGGACTGCTGTGCGCAGGTGCTGCCACCCCAAACCCCTCGGCGCAGGACCCTTGGGTGGGGTGGGGGGGCTGTCTAGGTTTCTCCCTCGATCCAAAAGACCAGGCCAACCGTGCGCCCCAGGCCCAGGAGAGGGGGCTCCCCGTGCCCCAGCAGCCCCAGATCCCCCA